GGTGGAGACGGTGAGCGGGGCCGGGGGGGGACACATACGCCGGGACCGGGACCGGGACCGGGACCGGGACCGGGACCGGGGGGGCTTCCGTGCGCCCCTGACCCCGGCTCCGGTGTGCACAGCGGGAGCCCAGCGTGGACCTGCTGGAAGCCTTCACCGAGCACTGGAAGGGCATCACTGGCTACTACCTGGAGGCCACGGGTGAGTGGGGTGCGGGGAGAGGGTCCCTGTGCCCTAGGATGGGCTCCCTGTGCCCTAGGATGGGCTCCCTGCAGCGTGGGAATAAGGTCCCCGTGGTGTGGGAACAGGGTCCCCGTGTCCTGGGAAGGGGTCCCTGTGCCCTAAGATAGGGTCCCGTGGCCTGGGAATAAGGTCCCTGTGCCCAGGGAGGGGGTCCCCATGCCCTGGAACAGGACCCCATGCGGTAGCAGGGCACTGTGCTGACCCTAGTGCACTGTGGCTGACATGGCATGCGGGGCTTTGGCATGGGACACCCATTCCCATACCCCAGGAGGACTTATCCAGCCGAGTGCTTGGCCCTGCCCAGCCCCGACCCCCCTGCACACCAGTGGGGTCAGCATGCAGGGTTTGGGTGGGTGCGGATTCTCCTGGGAGCGATTGCAGGCTGGGGCACGTCCCTCTCCGGGTGCACTAAAAGCAGGGCCTGGAGAGCTTCTGCCCTTTCCCCGGCAAGATCTTGGTCCTTCCCGCTTGGCCCCTGCCGCCCCTTCCCCTCCTGGGCTGTGCTGGAGGGTCTCCAGGGCTGGCAGTGCCAGGCAGCGCCCCGCAGCCCCCCGGGACAGCCGGCAGCTCCGACTGTGGCTCTGGCCCCGGCGGGGACAGCCGGCAGCCTGCTAGGCCATGAGCGGAAGGAGCAGCCTCGAGTGCTGCTGGGACTCCATCATCACATTGCCATCTAGCGTCGTCCCCGCTAACGGCAGCGGAGGGGGATTCTGGGCCAGCGCAGCTCGGGGTGCTGCTGGCGAGCACCCCACATTTGCACCTGAGCACCCCACCATGCATTGCTCCCCTTGCCGAGCCTGGCGGCACGCTGCCGGTGCCTTGGGGGAACATGCCACAGCCCCCGATTCTTGTGTCCGCAGACGAGAGCATCCCTGCCAGACAGACGGACATCCCCTGGCGCCTCAAGCAGATGCTGGACATCCTGGTGTACGAGGAGAAGCAGCAGCCGGCGGGGGAGGCCGGACCGTGCCTCGAGTACCTGCTGCAGCACAAGGTCCTGGAGACCCTCGGCACGCTGGGCAAGGCGGAGGTGGGTGTACAGGCACCGGGAAAGCCGCTTTGGGGGGGCTGAGCCCCCCCGCGCTGCAGCATCCGCAGCCTTTTCCATCTGCTTTGCACGGTGCTGCTCAGTAATTTTAATTTTGAAGCTCTTCTAGCTGGGCAAGGGGAGTTTGTGGAGCGTGGGCTGGTCAGGGTGCTTGGCTTTTTTTGGGGGGGCTGGATTGCTCGGTGTAAGATCCCCACTGGGATCCTTTCTGCTGCTCCTCCGAATGGCTCTTGCATCCCATCACACCCCTGCGTGCACGGGAAGGATGTTTCTCACACCAGCAGCCTGTTTGCACAACTGGCACAGTGCCGCTTGGGTTCGCAGGACAAGGTGTTTTTAGACAGCACCCTCTCAAAGTAAATATTGCCCGAATATAACGGCTCTGCTGTTCCTTTGTTGCTAAGAATAATGAGGGTCCCTATAAATAGCCTTTTATTCAAACGCAAGGAAATGCTAGCGGAGTGTGGGCTTCAGAAACGCGCGCTGGCCCTTCCGTGGCTGTGAGGATTTGGTTTTTGGGGTGCCGGGCTTTAACTCCCCATCGCTAGCATTGTAGCCATGGGAAAGGGGAAATAATCCCCCTGTTTTTTTCTCTACAAGAGAGCTCAATTCAGAGAACTGAATTCAGTCTCTAATTGCTAAAGGGAGAGGAGCCCGGGGCAGTCGGGAGGTCCTGGGGGGTCCATGGGCCCCTTTGCATCGTTCTGGGGGAGCAAAACCAGGATCTCTGCTGAGAGTGTTCTTGCAAGCCACCCACACTGACTGCTGGGTGAGCCGGCAGGCGACGTGGGGCAATTACAGGGTAATCAGGTACACAAACAGGTAACTGGGCTCTCGCTGATGCCTCTCCCCGTCTCCCTCCCAGTACCCCCCCGGGATGAGGCAGCAGGTCCTCCTCTTCTTCAGCCGGGTGCTGGGGCAGGTGCAGCACCCGCTCCTCCACTACCTCAACGTGCACAGGCCGGTGCAGGTGAGCCCCGTGCCTGGGGGCTTGTCGGGAGCTGGTGGGAGACCCCGGCTGGCAGTGCCGCCGGCAATGCCGCGTGCTGGGACTGGCAGCATCCCTGCCAAACGCTGCTGGGAACCGATGCCCGCAGTAATGGGGCAGCACTGCTGCACCCGGGCAGGGCGGGAGAGCGGCCAGCAGCCCAGCAGCCCCTCTCCCTGCCCTGCCAGAAGCTGCTCCAGCTCAGCGGCGACCGCCTGGGCTCCGGCACGGAGAAGGAGGAGGTGCAGTTCGCAGCCGTCCTCTGCACGAAGATCAAGCAGGATCCCACCCTGCTGGCATACATCCTGGAGGTGAGCAGCCCCTGGGCATCCCTGTGCTGGTGGGTCATCTGTGGGGTTTGGCTCATTTAATTGGGCTTTTTCACGTGCTTTGCAGCTCCTTCCCCACTGCAAAGCTCCTCGGGGTGAGTGGGAGGGAGTTGGTGGCTAAGATGCTTCACCGCTCCTCTTCCTCTCCAGGGCAAGAGCATCCTGAATGGGAAGAGAGCCCAGGAGCTGCCGGCCAGCCCCGTGGAAGAGGGTACGGAGCATCCCCCGGGCACCAGCACCACTGCCGGCTCCCCCTCAGCCGAGCCTTCCCCGGCATCCCCCATCCCCCGGGCACCAGCACGGCTCCCCCTCACTGCCGGCTCCCCCTCAGCCGAGCCTTCCCCGCCACGGAGGGACAGCAACCTCATCACATCCTTGGTGGGGCTCTGCAAGAGCAAGGTAGGGGGAAAGGGCTGGCAAGGAGGGGATGGCGGGTGCCACCGGTCGTGTGACGCCGCCTCTCTCCTCCTCCTCGCAGAAGAGCAGGGTCGCGCTGAAGGCTGGGGAAAACCTGCTCTTGCTCGTCGGGCTCGCCCAGGAGGCGGCTGCTGCCTGCCTGGTGCGGAGCAGCGCCCTGTGCCAGCTGCTGACGGAGCATCTCTGTGACCTCTACAGCGCCGTCCCCGCCTGCACCGACCCTGCCGACGTCCTCGCCCTGGAGAGGGCCAGCTGGAGGTAAGGCGGGCGCCGGGCAGGGTGGTCCCCAGCTGCCGCCGAGGCTTTGCCGCAGCCCCACGTCCTCTACCCCATTCAGGTCGCAGGGTGATGCTGCCGGCGACGGGGTTTTCCCAGGGAAGGAGAGCCTGGCTGCCTTCTTCGGCTGGCTGGACTACCTCGATGAGCTGGTGACGGGCGCCCACCCGGTAAGGAGCGACCGTCCGGCCCTGCAGAGCATGGCAGCCCCCTGCCCGTGCCGCGGCTCAGCCTCTGCCATCACCCACAGGTCGTGGCAGATGCCATCACCGAGGCCGTGGAGGAAAAGTTTTTCCAGGGCATCCTGCAGCCACAGCTCCTGGAGATGTGAGTGTCTGAGGCCCAAGACAGCAGCCAGGGGAGAGTTTCTCTGTCAAGGACCCCCTTGGGGTCGGGACCGCAGGGTTGCCCTTGCCCGCACCTCCTTTTTCCCCGCTGTGAGATGCTGTGGTGCTGTCTCAGGACACCCCTCGTAGCATCCTACCCTGCCCCCCGGCAGGTCCGAGCTCACCATCCTCGGTGCCACGGCCATGCTGACAGGCACGGTGCGGCAGATCCGCGCGCCTCCCCTGCTCCACCGCCTCGTGCTCTTCCTGCTGGGGCCAGACCGGCACCCCGAGATCCCGGGGGATGCCCCCCACCCTCTGCGCACCCAGCTCATCGACCGCTGCAAACACCA